ACAATTATTGGCATTGGCAAAAGATGCGGGTTGAGAATCCAGCCTGGAGCGGCAAGTCTGCTAAAAACGTCTTCGTAAAAGTAGCATCGAGGGAGCTAGAGATTGTGACCGATAGGTCAAATAGTTTTTTTGTTATTGATGCCCCGAACATATGACCCTCCGAAAAGGCTGGTGTCACAGGATGTCTTTATGTACTTGCAAATGACTTACTTGGTACTTTAGCATTCGTAATGATAGCTCGGAGGTACCCATCGTAGGCTCCTCGATCTGGCGCCGTCATAAGTTGGTCTGTGAACGTGCGGACCATCTTCTTGTGCTCAGTAAGGAGTTTCGCTTCTTGGGTTGCTGCATTCCGATGAAATCGGAATCTCTGAGCAAAAATAGTGGGACCAAACACGGTCGGCAGGGCAGTCAGGCACCTTTTGGCTGCATCCATTACCACGGCAACCACTGGAACGTCTGTGATCCTTGAAATTAAACGCTGTACGGTCGGAATACCATAACCAAGCACTGATGTGACCCGCTGCTTATCAAAAAAAGGTCAGCGGTACTAAAGATGTACGAATCCCAGTTTCACCCGGTCCCGGAGGAGCTGCTTTACCAATACCACATGCATATATGCAAAACGCGCAATGAACGCCTGCCCATCCACATAAAATATAAACCCGTCACCGTGAGCCTTCAGATGGGATGCGCAGTTGTGATTGCTTTCAATAGATAATGTTGGAGCGATGGAGATGCTAAACCCCCACCATGTTCCGCAATATAATGGGAGAGCTAAACAACAAATGTGTCATCTCATGGGAATTGGGCGGTATTGGATATGATGCGTAGGAGTAAGGCTAAGGCTGAGGACACATTGGGCAGTAGGATGAAGCTGGGGGAGGGTGGTGACCTGCGATGGGTTGGATATCCTCTTCTCTAGGCAAGACTCGCTCTGGTGCTACTTGTGATCGCTTTTTCGACCCTACTGTGCATGTTGCCGGTGCGGTGAGGAAGCCTAGGAATCCTAGGCTAGGATAGGATTTTACCTTGTACGCTGCTTCTAGTTGAATTTGTGTTGAGCTAGTACTGGTGTAGGACGAGAGTGGCGAATGGACGAATACAAAGATTGAGATGCAAAAACAGGAGGGTGTTGAGCCTCTACCTGCTGTTATTGAGAAGGAAGAAAAGCTTGAGGCAGACAGTGTACCAACAGCCGCTACACCAGCCATCTCCCTGGGGGTTATGGTCACTGACCATCTTAGAGAGGCCCCACCTACAGTGTTGAGCTCGGCGGCGGCAACGTAGATTGTAGTGAGTATATCTTACTTAGGAGTGGGTAGACCAGAATCTGGTCACCAGATAGTAATTGATGCTGGTGGTCCTAGTAAGGTTATATCATCTAATGGGGAACATCCTCCACCGGTTCGTTGGCCAACTCAGCCACACCAGCAGGAGGTAGTATCGGCATGCTTCGTGTGTGAGATTACACTAGTGTGCTATTTAGGGGCCGGGGACAATCGAAGGACTCCTCTTCCTTGGCGATTGTAAGGGATAGTGAATCTGCTATCTCTTGGTTGCGAGACAACCTATGCTACGAGCGTTGAGCGTTTAGCTTTGAGAAGTATGCTAAACACTTTCGAAGATGTGCAAGTTCTTTTTGATAGGATGGATATTACGCTAGCTTTTGAGAAAATTGCTGTTGTTGAAAAATTCATCTGCTGATGAACTTAGTCGTTTACTTATTACTTGTGGTATCTTCTTTTCTTCCGAACATACCAGAACTTCAGCCGAGACTGCTACTCCTATT